CTCCCGTAAAGATTTACACCCTTGGAAACCCTGTACAGGGTCGCTATGGGTCGGAACCGACTTGACGGCACTTAACAACAACAACAACATGGGCTTTAAAATATATATGCCTGGATGGTATATAAAAGGAATTCAGTTTCAACGGCATTTTGTTCCTTTCTTGACCTTCACAGTTAATTTAGAGGGGAAAAAGAGTAAGTTAGTTACGTCATGCTAATTTCTACATCATTAGCAGAAGTTATGAATGTACAATTATAATTTCCCTGTAGAACCAAAGCCTTTGCAACATGCTATATTTCTTAAAATCATTAAACTGAAACAAAAAACTAAAAACCCAAAATAGAAATTCTACATACTATGCAACTACTTTTCCTTCTACCACAGAAGAGTTTCAAATGATCTAATACACTAACTATAAAAACCACATTATGTATCAAAACCTTAACAGTAAGGTACTAATTTAGTTAAGTAGGTACATCTGCAGAAAAAATAGTACCTGTGAACATACAATAAAGCACTTTCATGTAGGTGAGAATTAATTAAATGAAATGGTAGCAGAAGGGAAATCTGTAAGTAAAAAAGAATCCTTCCAATGATAACCTATTTAAACATGCACTTTTCCAGCAAATGTACTCTTTAAATCCCCAAAATAAAGGTACAAAACTGGAATGCCTTCTAAAGAAAGTACCTTTAAAACTGCTACACTATAAAATTCCTTATCTCCAATTCAAGCAGCTTGCATTCTCAAAATTAGAACACAAAGTATCTGTAGAATTCTCTTAAGCTCCCTTTATCCATTATCTCACTGTTAACCTTAAGGTAAAGCAGGTAAATTTTATTTTTAGATGAGAAAGCAGGCAGAGAAATTCAGTGGATTTCTATTCGCCAAATCTATCTGCCTTTCTTTCACTTCTTCCTTGGACATAAATGAAGAATTTCATAACCAAGATTTTCATTTATTCAACAAATAGTGAATGCCTACTATGTGTTGAGGGCTGAGATAGCCTGAGTATACAGTGGAAGAAGTCTTATCCTCATGAGACTGATGAATGAGGAAGACAGGAAGAAGAAAACAAGTTCTGAACATGAGGCTGAGATACAAACTACAGTCTATATCTCATGTGGAGATTCATTTCTATTGAAGGGACTGTCATGAAAAGGATTTTGGTTCAACGAAGTTTCAACCTTTCCTAGACCTTCAGAACTTAACATGAGGGGAGAATATAAATCAAATCATTTCTGATTTAAGTGTGGAAGCTATAAATAAGATTTTATTTCCTGTAAAGCTAAAACCTGTATGGTAAGTAAAGTTGTAGTTAATACAGGCATACATCTGAAAGAAAGAAAAAAAAGGGAAAACTAAGATGGAAATTCTTCCTATTAAGAGTCTACTTTCCTTACCATCAACACTGCTGTTTTTCAGTCTCAAGAACCACTTTTTTTCCTTTAGTCTAAAAGAGTAAAGACAGGCTAAACCTTGTCAGGACAGAAAAAAAAAGATGATTTTCCAGAAGCACACAGCTTCCCTGCCTAGCTAAGGGTATTTACACCTAGAGAGCAGGTTTTATTATGTCTTCTCAAAGTAGAATACATTTTTATTCTTATAAAATGGACTAGATTTCACCCAGCTTCAAAGTTGGGTGATAGATGAGGTAACTTTTCAAAACTAATTTTTATAGATTATTCCTGGTATCTGTTCATTCACAGGGTTTTCACTGTACAACTTTGAAGGACTGGTCATCTTCTAATCACTGAACTAAATTCTTGGGGCTCTTTAATGCTTGAGTCAGGGGAGACATGTTTATCTATGATTCCAGAACACAGGTTACTTTAGTGCCCAACACTCTGGTTATGCCACTATATAAGTGTGGTCCCCAAATCGTCTGCATCAGGAACACTGCAGTAGTGTTAAAATAGCAGACTGCTGGAATCACCTGAATCAATCTCTGAGAGAGGGAGACAGGGCTCCAAAAATTCTCATAGTCTAACAACCTTCCACATGATGCTTAAATACGAAAGTCAAACCCACGGTCATCAAGTTGATTTGGACTCATAGCAACCTTATCTGTGGTTTCCAAGATTGTAAATCTTTATGGGAGCAGAGAGCCTATCTTTCTCCCATGAATCAGCTGACGGATTCAAACTGTTGACCTTTCAGTTAAGAGCCTGACAATTTAGCCCACAGTACCTACACCTGTGTTCCTTATGTGACACTTTGTTGTTGTTTAAGTGCCAATGAGTCGTTTTTGACTCATATCTACCCTATCTAGGGTTTCCAAGGAACGGCAGGTGGGTTTGAACTGCCGACCTTGTGGTTAGCAGTCCCGGGCTTATCCTACAGCACCACAGCAAGACTCCATGTGATGCTTGTTGTTGTTAAGTGTCGTCGAGTCGATTCCTACCCATAGCGACCCTGCATAGGGTTTCCAAGGAGCAACTGGTGAGCTTGAACTGCTGACCTTGCAGTTCAAATGGCTTTGCAGTCTGGCTCATTAACCCACAGTGCCACACCAGGACTCCAATGTGATGCTTAGGAATACTAAAATTTGTTACTCAGTTAAGATTTGAAACAGTTAACTTTCTTGGCTACTCCACCAAACTTTGGTCAATACTGTGATCTGGGAGGAAGACGTTATCCTTAGCTTTAAAAGATGAAGTCCTGGTGTGGCTGCAGGATCAGCACTGGACTGCTTAACTGTAAGGTTGGTTGTTCAAAGCCACCAATTGCTCTTCGGAAACCCTATGGCTGCTGTGAGCCAGAACCAACTTGAGAACACTGAACAACAATGGGTAAACTGGCACAGACAGAGATAAAAAATAAAGTTAAACCAGACAGCTAAGATTTGATGCTCTCCTACTTTTTTCCCCCAAGAACCTTACAAACAAATTTTGTCACATTTTTACCCCAAAGCATTCTAGAAACAAACGCCTTCCTATTGGCACTTTTTTGGATCCAAAAAGCAATTACTAAGCACTTACTTTTAATTAGTTTTCATTTTAATCCTATGTATTTATTTCTCAACCAGGGTGAAATACAGTTGTGAAAACAAATTGAAAAATGCTAAGTTAAAAAACTGAATTACTAGAAGCACACTACACTATAGGTTCATGTGACTAGATTATTATTAAATGAGATGCACATATAAGTAACCTAACTCAGTGCCTGCTCTATCAATAATTTTTATTGTTTTTATTTAGGGCTGCTGAGTTGAAATTGACTGGATGGCAGTGGGTCTTTTAGGTGGGTATCATCAATGAAGAATACAGGTCCAGAACTCCTATCTGAAATCCATTACATGTTTGGGTTTGACAGCCAGGTGTAATTTTATATGATAGCAAAATCTGACCTAAATTATTTATGTTGTGAAGAGCTGCTGAGTCAGTTCTGACTCACAGCGACCCTGAATAGGATTTCCCAGGAAAGACAGATGTTTCAGATAACAATCTAGGGTTTATCCTACAATGCAACACCAATTCTCCACGAATTATCTATTATTGCTGTTGGTAAGTGCTGTTGAGTAAGTTCCGATTCATTGTGATCCTGCATAGGGTTTCCGAGGAGCAGCTGGTGGGGCTAAACTGCCAACTTTATGGTTTGCAGTCCAGTGCTGATCCTATAGCACTACACCCGAAGCCCTTAATTATTCATAGGAGTCCTAGTGTGTTGCCCTAGGGTCAGCCTCTCCTCTAAAACAATATACAGGTTGCTATGAGTCAAAACCGACTTGATGGCACTTCGCAACAATTATTCATACACTTTATTCCATGTATATATTTACTTCTTCAGGTTCCATTTAGAGTACTGTATTAGTTAACATGCAGTATAGTCACCATATTATCTTTCTAAAATCTGAAAAATTCTGAACTCCTTTCCAGGTGGCCTTAAGAATTTTGGATAAGAGATTGTGGACCAGTATCTTTGGATACAGAAAGACTTTTTTTTCATTCTTTTAATGCTAAGGAGAAAATTATTATGACATGGCCTCTTCCTTGGAAGAGCTTACAGGGCAGTGGAGTGCGTGACAGCAGAGTTACACCCTATTTGGGGTTTGGGTTCTAGGCAAAAATCACATAAAAGTCTAAATCATATCTTGAGAAAAATTGAAATTGCCCATCAAGTGCCTACGTTTTATGCACCAAACTCTGAACAGTAATAGTGGGTAAATTTACAACATACTTACACAGTAATATTTTGTTGCTGTAAAGTGCCATCAAGTTGGTTCTAACTCACAGCTACCCTATGGGGTTTCTGTGGAGCAGCTGACCGTATCCTACAATGCCACACCAGAACTCCACACAGTAATACAGAATATCTAATAAAGAATATGTATTCTGCATCTTTAAACAGTGGCATCATGCATAGTATGAGCTGTGTTTGCCTATGAGAAATAAGAGGTACAAGACCAGCAGATTCAGTTCTCCCATTATTATCCTCACTCAGGAGCGTAGCCGGTCTCAATGAGTCCTTATTAGCTGGGAAAACAGTCTAAGTATAGTTACAACAGCTATTCCCATTTCCGTGCCTGTCCTTTCAGAATGGGTTAGAGAAAAATACTTTGTAATGTTGGTGCTGCCAAAGATGGCCCAATATATAGCCCATAAGATAATTAATGTGCTTTTTAATATAAGACTTTTACCCAATACAGTTGTTTGAAGGCACATCCTTGTGAAGTGCCATCCAGTTGATTCCGACCCATAGCGACCCTGCATAGGGTTTCCAAGGAGCAGCTGGTGAGTTTGAACCACTGACCGCAGTTCAAAGACTTTGCAGTCTGACACATTAGCCCACAGCGCTACACCATAGTTTGTTTCTATTAGAGAATCAAATTCTTTAACGAGAACTGTACTGATTACTAGCCCTACTTTATGTCAGAACTACCTGCAGAATTTTTTTAAAGACAGGCTTGGGGATTTTGGTTAGTAGGTCTGGGATGGAGTCTGAGCACCTGTAATTTTTATATATTTCAGTGGCAATTTTGGTATGTTGTCAGTGGAAAGAAGTCTCTTGAAAACCTTATACAGGGTCCCTGTGAGTCAGAACAGAATTTAGGGCACTTAACAACAATGGCATTTGTTTGGAGTCCAGGTGTGGCACTCTAGGATAGGCACTGAACTTCTAACTGCAAGGTTGGCAGTTCAAACCCACCAACCTCTCCTTGGACGTCATATATAGCGTCGCAGTGAGTTGTAAGACCTGGTAGCACTGTAGGATAAGCACTAGACAGTGAACTGCAAGGCTGGACTGCAAAGTCAATTTGAACCTCAAGATTGGCAGGTCAAGCTCACCAGCTGCTCCTCAGAAACCCTATACAGGGTCACTATGGGTTGGAACCAATTCGATGGCACTGAACAAAAAAACCCTATATAGGGTTGCTAGGAGCCCGAGTTGACTTGATGGCAGTGGGGTGGGTTTGGCTGGTGGCCTTTGTTTAGAATTACTGCAGACTAGAGGCATTTTTATAGATTTTGCTGATGATTTTCTGTTCCCCTTCTTTCTTAAGATCATTTTAAAATCCTACTATAAGCCTGCTCCCTAGACAAATCTTAATCTACTGCCACTCTAACTCAACATGATTCCACTTTAAAAAAGATATCAGGTGCAAAATCTTCCATAATAGTAAAAGCAGATATTCTATCTCAATAAAGAAAACTTTCAGGTAGCATTTTCCTTTTTCACATACTTACAATGCACAACTCAGTAAGTAAAACTGATAAATTTCTCAACTCATATCAACAACTGAAAGAAGCTGTAATAATGAATGTTTCTTTGACTCTACTTTACAGTTATTTTGAATTCTTATTTCTCATTGTAAAGCTTTTATTAAATATGGAAGAGTCAACACAAATGAATGCTTTGGGTCCTCTCTCTTCTCTTTATGTCCCATTTCTAGGCGAAGGTTACACAGGTAGCAAGATGATAAAACGCAGCAGCAGAAAGGCCTGGATAACCAGGCCCAGATGGATAAGTGCTGTACTAAGTAGAGGGCCACAAGTAGTCCTCTAACTTCTCTAGAAAGAGTTGTCTGCTTAGGGGCCTCACTAACTTCTTATGAACAGCAAAACTTTATATTTTAAGAGTATATAAGCTCTACTGTAGACGAGATGAACATTTTACTTCTGATATACAACCCATCAGCCCCAATTTATGAACTAAGCATATTAACTCACCAGTTCGATATGCCAATAACCTGGCCTGAACCATGCAGTGCCTTGCAATGTCTTGTGGCAAACTTTGATTGTGAATTTCATTAATCTGTCCTGGACTGCTACAATAAAATCCAAAGTGTTTAAAGTTGGGCACACTGGAAGCTACTGTGGCCAAAAGAAGGATAAGGTCTTTCATGTTTTGCCTTAGATTGCTAAAGTATGGATTTTCACACAGGTTCTCCAAACCTATTGTCATCAGTATTTGCTTATGCATGTCTTCATTTGAAACCAAAAATAACATTTCATATTCTTTTATTCTTTCTTGTTTACATTCAGAATAAAAGTCAATATTAGCATCCGGCAGTGCTTTTGTAACTTTTTGAACAAAATCACATTTGTAAGAAGTCTCTTCTACAAACTGTACCATATCACACACCAAAGGCTGAAGTAAGACACACACATGAGCCCGACTGTTGGACTTCAATCTTTCTACTGCTTTGGCGTCTAATTTTGCATCTTCAGAACTAGAAGCCTCAGTAAGCAAACTTATTTCTGGATCCGCAGGCCAATATGAAATCCGGTTAACTCCAGCTGAAATACAAAACATGCAAGTTAGTTATCCGATACATGCTAAAACTACAGGGTTTCTTGAACAGGTAATCATACTGCATATCTACATGCCCCAATATGATGTTTAATAGTCAGTCATCTGAGGACTGGCAAACTAAGAGCCATGGGACAAATCCAACTATGGTCTGTTTTTGCAGTTTGTGTATCAAGGATGTTTTTTAAGTGACTGGGGGGAAAATCAGTGTCTAGAAATAAAGTTTTATTGGAACACAGCCATTCATTTACATACAGTCTTGGCTCCTTTTGTTCTATGAAAATAGAGTTGAATAGTTGTGACAGACACTATTCAACTTGCAAAGTCTAAAATACCTGGTCTTGCATAGAAACATGCCACCCTGACACAGCCCTTGGAAAGGCATTTGTGGAATCACTGGTTTGCTAAGTATGGTTCCAGAGTCCTCCGTGTGATCAAATGGCTGCTTTTATATATATCACAACTTATAAATGATATCATCCAGTGATATCTGGAATAAATAGACTTGCATTAAAAATGACCCTGAACTCTGACTCAGCATTTTTCTTTGGAGAAGCTATTCTTATACTCTAAATAGTGGGGAAAAAAAATATATGAATATGCCCACATATGTTTAGTGCAGCATTGTTTAAGAGTTAACATAGAAAAACCCAAAATAACTAAAATAGAAGAAAAAGTTAAATTATGGTATTTTCATTAAAACATCATGATAGTTATAAAAAATGTCGACAAGGAATTGAGAACATAGAAAATTTCTTATCATGTGATATGGAGGCAGGGACAAAAGGAAGCAAAAATCAATTTTTAAGTCCACAAAATTATAGACAAAACTAGGCTAAATAATGTGACAGAAGAATGGTTAGTAATCTTTAATATACAAAGAAATTTTTAATCCACTAAAAGTACATTATGAATTGACAAAAACAATAAATCCTTAAGCAAGACAAAAAGATATAAACAACTTACAAAACAGAAAAAAAATTGAATAAACATAAAAATTTTACTCTGTACTTGAGATGGAACAATGGGATGACTCATAGAAAGGCAAACACCTCAATTTTCACCAATTAATATTTTATCAACAAAAAGACCCCATTTGCTAGTATCTCATGTAATTTCGGAGTCCTGGTGTGGCCCTGTGGATTAATGTGCTGGACTGCAATGTTGGTTTGAACCACAAAATCGATGGTTCAAGCTCACCAGCAGCTCCTCGGAAACCCTACACAGGGCCCTTGTGGGTAGGAACTGACTCCATGGTGCTTAACAACAATACGTAATTTCAGTCAGTGGGGACTTCTTTTTGTGTGATTATGCCCAAAAGCAGACAAGTGGCTCACAGAGTTGTTGTAGCCCTGAAGTCATAAATGAACTAAAAAGTCTGAGTTTAGTAAATTTCTATTTGTGTCTATTTCCTGCTACTGCTAACACTTACTGTGGCTTGCATACACAGCAAAGTAATTTCAAAGGGCTCAAAGCTTATGGGAGTGTAAGAATGTTCCCCTGGGTCCATTTCACTTCAATTTTACAATTCATTCCCAAACCAGCATGGAGGGTAAACTCTTCATCTAAGCATCTTGGTTGTTCCTAGTAGGCCTGATCTGAGGAGAAGGGGGATGAATAATCTTTGGGCAAATATTCATGTATGAATGGTAAGTACTACAAGCAAAGGTCCTCCTCAGGTGGGTTGGTATCACGACCCCCTTTTACACTCTTACATTTATTGAGAACCCCAAAAACCTTTTGTTATGTGGACTACATCTATTGATATTTATTGTGCTAGATAAACCACTTTACTTCATTAATAATAAAGAACTTATTATACATTAACATAAATAACATTTTTAATGAAAATGATACTACTTTCCAAAATAACGACATAAATTAGTGAGAAGATATGTAAATATTTGTATACATCTCTTTAATAGCTAACTTAATAAAAGACAGTTGCATTCTTAAACCTGCTTCTGTTTTCAACATGTTGCAATATGTTGCTTTCATTAAAGTGTATGAAAAATACTATCTTATACAGATGCATAGTTGTAAAAGGAGAATTTTAACAGCTATTTCAGAGAAGTGTGGATATTTCCTTTAATGGTACACAAAAATTCAACAAGGGACAGCTTTTTAAAGGTTAGTTGCAAAGTAGCATCTGAAATAATCGATGAACTTTTTGCATATGACATCAAAATCCGTTGGTCGATCTGCACTCCGAAGGACTCTTCAACCATGTGATTCTGTAACATTGTGCATTAGTTATTTGAAAGTATTATTTACTGATCTTATAATATTTTTAAAAAATCACACTGATTATTACCATTGTGAATCCCATCCGAAAAGACTGAAGTATTGGGAATCTAACAAGCTCACAATGGTGGATACAAGTTCTCAAAAATTCTAATTTTCACTTGAGAGCTCAAATTTTATCATCGGCAACAAATACTGTCAGTTGTTGTCCTTAAAATGACAAGGTTCGCTTCATTCACTTCTGAGAATATGTCTGCCAGATACTCAAGTCTAGATAACCAGTTTGTTAGCTCATGATGTTCTAAGAAGAAAGTGGGTATTTCAGGCTGCAGCTCCAACAATCCCGTAAGTGCTACTCTTGATGGGAATCACCTTCCTTGGGTTTGCAGAAAAAGAACTTCATGCGCACCGTCTATTTTCTCACCCAGAATAGGAAAAAGATTATACTTAAGTTGGGACTTAAGAAAATTAATGATTATTATTGCTTCATCAAGAACATTCTTAGGTGAACACTGGCAGAGAAGAAGACAGTAATTACTAGAGTGTATTTGGGTGCCACTGCCTTGATTCATACAAGGGGAGTAACTCAAAAGTAGGCAGTGGTGAATAACCTGCATTCCCCCATCTTTCTCTTTATCTGGAGTCCTGGTGTGATGCTAGAAGATAAGCACTGGATGGCTTAACCACAAAGTTGGTGATTCAGATTCACCAGCTGCTCCTTGGGAACCCTATAGAAGTCACTATGACTCGGAACCTATTTGACAGCACTTAACAACAACAGGCAGTTTGTGCTTTGAGCACAGTTGACTCAGAACAAAGTACAACTCTCTTAAATTTATTCTTCTCCACTGACGCTAGAACAGATTAATCAACAAATATTTTGGCTCTTTCACATTCATTTTCTACAGGATATACAGAAATAAAACATATCCTATATTTTCTGAACTCTATTTTAAACCCTGGCGAATGCACTATTCTACCGATCCAGCCTCTAATCGCTCTCTGCTCCAGTTCAATAACATTTTAATCATGTTCTATCCTTTCCCTGGCAAATTCTTCAACGTCCCTACATCATCTATCATTAAGAATTATAAGTCAGCTGGACATAAGTGACAAAATGAATGCCCACTCTGTGTGGCTAACTGGGAAAAGGAGACAATAAATGCCACCACTCATATCATCCCTGCCTTTCCCACTGAAAATCTAAGTGGAGAGACTGTAGACGCTAACAATCATAGATGTCAACTTGAAACACTCATTGAAAGCCAGGAATCTTCAACTACAAGATCATTTCTATGGAAAGTTTTTCCATTCGTAACTCAAGGGCACTACCCTCACCACAAATCTTACCACTCTGAAGACTACACTGTGTAAACAAAAATAGCTCTTCCTCACAGCAGGTATAGGCAATCTAATCTTCAAGATAAAGTCCAAAGTCCATATAGCTTTTCACAGTTCTCCACTACAGGATCAACCTATCGTTATGACTCACCTCCCGTACTGCCCATAATAGTCTTTCATTTCTAACATTGACCTCTAGAGAACCCTGCTTCTTGTTAGGTGCTGTCTAGTCAGTTCTGATACATAGCAACTCCATTCACAACAGAGCGAAACATTGTCCGGTCACGTAGGATCCTCGTAACTGTTATGTTTGAACCGACTGTTGTTGCCACTGTGTCAATCACTGGAAGTCTTCCTTTTTTTTCTCACTGACCCTTCACTTTTCCAAGCAGAATGTCCCTTCTCTAGGTACTGGTCCTTCCTGACAACATGTCCAAAGTGCAATAGACAAGTCCCTGCCATCCCTACTTCTAAGGAGCCTGGAGGCTGTATTTCTCCCAGGACAAATTTGTTTGCTCTTCTGGAAATCCATGGTACTTCCAATAGTCTTCGCTGACACCATAATTCACATGCATGGACTTGTCTACAGTCTTCCTTATTCACTGTCCAATTTTCACATGCACATACGACAACTGTGTAGCACTGTAGGATAAGCACTGGGCTGTTAGCCATGAGGTTAACAGTTCAAAACCACAGGTCACTCCTTGAAAACCCTATACTTTTGAGTCAGAAGTGACTCAAAGACACTTAACAAATAAAACAATTGAATATATACACCATGGCTTAGGTCAGGCATACCTTAGTCCTCAAAATGATATCTTTTTAAAACTTTAAAGAGGCCTTTTGCAGCAGAGTTGCCTAATTCAATCGTTCACTTCATTTTTTGACTACTGTTTCCATGAGGGTTGAGTGTGAATCCAAACAAAATGAAGCCTGACAGCTCTATTTACTATGATGCTATTTAATGGTCCAGTGTCAGGATTTTCATTTTCTTAACATTGAGATGCAATCCATACTGAACGCTGTAGTCTTTGATCTTGATTAATAAGTATTTCAAGTCCTCTTTTCCCCACTAAGCAAGGTTGTATCATCTACATTTCACATCTTATTAATTATTCTTCCAATCCTGATGCCAGGTTCTTCTTCATATAACCCTGCTGCTAGGACACTTGCTCAGCATAGAGACTGAATAAGTATGGTCAGAGAATGCAATCTTGACGCACACTACAGTGCAATGAATTCCTTCAGATGGCTCTTCTACGCCTAGTCTTTGTAACTCCCATGAAAAAACTTTTTCCTGATAGGTAAGAAAAGTGAGAAAAGATGCTGATAGGATGATATAATTCAGTAGTAACTGCTAACAGCGTTAACTGTGGTTGTAAAAACTTGGAACTCCAAAGTGGTTTAAAAATGAGCCATCTCAGAAGGAGGAGGAGTAAATCTCACTACCACCAAACAGCCAGGAATGGCGCGCATCCTTTGGACCCCAAGGTCCCTGCACATTAAACCTCCTCGACTCAAGGACAGAAATTTGTGACACTGGATGTGTTGGCAAAGGAGCAGTTGCAACACTAAGATCCAAAGCACAAGACAGAGCAGTTGGCTTCCCAGTCCACAGAGCAAGTAAAGCTGAGAGACTTAGGGCAGAACGCTTGCTTTCAGAGTGAGGGCACCTCCAGGTATTTAATTGGAGATCTGTTTGCTGACCCATGGAACTAGAATTGAGTGACTTCAAGATAAGGTTAATGGTGGAGTGGTGTGTCCTGTGGGTGTTTATATCAAGAACCCTATTAAAGTTCTGTAACATGACCAGGCAGAGTGCACCTGACCCAAGCTATGGTATTTTCAATAGCCTTATATGCATGTGAAAGTTGGATAATGAATAAGGAAGACCATAGAAGAATTGATACATGTGAGTTATGGTGTTGGAGAAGAATATTAAAGGTACCATGGACTGTCAGAAGAACAAACAAATCTGTGTGGGCCTAAGTCCTGCCAGACTGTGCCTCAGAAGCCAAGACGGCTAGACTTGTCTTTCATTCTTTGGACGTATTATCAGGAAAGACTAATCCCTGGAGAAGAAAATCATGCCTGGTAAAGCTGAAGGTCAGCGAAAAAGTGGGAGACCTCCCCAAAGGGATGAACTGGCACAGTGGCATAAGCAATGGGCTCAAGGGTAGCAGTAATTGTGAGGATGGTGCAGGACTGGGCAGTGTCTCCTTTGGTTGTGCAGAGGTTCACAACTGACTCGACAGTACCTAACAACTATCTTCCTAATAAGCTCCATAGCTGTGAATGTGATATCTGAGTTCTGTGGAGCCACTGCAATGAATTAGCCATCCCAGCTGATCAGTACAGTGTACCATGGGAGACATGGCTGGTATTGTTTTAACAGTTTGGCCTTTTATGCACACATCTTTCATGATTTGGAACCATTCAGTATTCCATTGTTTTGTTGGAGTGACTGCCTTTTAGTCTATGTACATACAGGTTCCTCATGAGAACAATCAAATTTTCTGGAATTCCCATGCTCTGCCATGTTTTTCATAAATTTACTATGATCCTCATAATTGAAATGCCTTTGCATAGTTAATGTAGCACCTGTAAACATCTTTCTGGCGTTCTCTGCTTTCAGCCAAGATTCATCTGACATCAGCAATGATATCCCTCATTCCACACCTCTTACACCTAAGTAATTCCACACCTGCTGTTCCTACTTACCAGGAATGTGTTCTTCCTTCATTAAATCCAATGCAATAAAATCCAGCATAAGTCTTAACCTTTCATAACAATGCAAACCTGCCAAGGACCACTGTGCCTCCTCTAGGCTTATCACTCACTTGATACTTGATAAATTTAATGTTAAATTATTTGTGTGGTGCTATGGGATAAAGCACTGGACCTCAAGGTCAGTTTGAATCACAAGGTCTGTGGTTCAAACTCACCAGCTGCTCCTGGAAACCCTAGAATTAGATCGCTACGAATTAGAATCGACTCAACAGCACTGAAAAACAACAATAACAAATAACACCTTGAGGAAAAGAATCATTAAGAACCAGTGTGGCACTGTAGAATAATGCACTGGCTTGCAGGGTCGGTTTGAAACACAAGGTCAGTGGTTCAAATTCACTAGCCACTCCTTGGAAAACTATATAGGATCACTATGAGTTGGAATAGACTTGATGGCACTTAACATCAACAACATTCATCTTTAAAAAAAAAAAGAATGCACTGTAGTGTCTATGTACAAGATACATGTGCAAAATAGAATCTTAAGTACAAAGTGGTTTCGTGAATAGCCTGGTGTGACAGAGATGCTAGCTATACACTGAAAATGTGTGCTCCTCCTTCCAAAGCGGAGCTATTTATTTAACACCTATGTAAGAGTCACTGAGACAGAGCCGTCAGTGGGAGACAGATGCCTAGACAGGATGACAACTCCCCCACTGAATGCGAAGAGAAAAGATGTATGCCACTTCCAAGCCAGGGTTTTCAGCAGCACATGTACATTCTGTCCTCTTTCTTGGCCTGGCTCAGAGGCAGAGAAGGGCCTCCAGATGACAAAAGCACTCAGACAGAAGATGCCTAGACCCATGGACCAACCACATGGAGAAAAGCTGTCTACTGTTCAGCAGCACCTGCACTGGACTACTCACTGGTGATAAATAAATGTCCAGTAAATTCAGCCACTACAATTTTGGGGGGTTTGTTACAGAAGCTAGCATTAGTCTAAGAGCGCACACGAGCTCATTTAAGTAGGTAGTGACAAAGCTGAGACGCAAATTCATGTTTTCTGATTCTTCCTCTTAAAGTGTATCAAACTGTCTTTGTTGTTGCTGTTGTTGTTAAGTGCCATCGAGTCGGTTCCAACTCATAGCGACCCTGTATAGGGTTTCTGAGGAGTGACTGGTGGGTTTGAATAGCCGACTTTGCGGCTCAAACTGACCTTGCAGTCCAGCGCCACATTGTCTTTAGACACATATTTATATTTCTAAATCATCTCTGACCTTTGGGCAATTTGTTCCCACTGACTAGTCAGATAAACACTATTAATCTCCAGTAAATCCTTATCCACACTTACCATTTACAATCATTTTCAAACAAGCAGAACATGGTTTTCTGGAAAAATAAAGATCACAGTTTTTCAGTCTTGACCCATGTTTAATAAGAGCAATTTGCCCAGCATGCAAATCTTCACTAGAACAGTGGAGACCAACAATTTTCATGTTTTTTACCACCACCAGACCAGTTCTCTTCACCTACATTAAAATACAAAACAATAATTAATTATAACATCTAATGATCATGACTCAATGGCACTCAACAACAATGGTCAGATCATAGATTATACTCGATTTACTAATAAAAGTTTTACTTAGCTCTTTATCTGAACAGTGTGAATAAAAGCACATTTTTCTCTAGGCCCCCCAAATTACTGAAGGTTTAGTGTTGGCTTTATATTAGACATTTTCTAAATCTCAGCTTTTTTAGCCCAACAATTTAGCATGTAATCCCCATTAATGTTTCCTAGGAAACAATGACTACATCTTAACATAGTAAATAGCAAGTAACAAGTTAATTTGACTTCCTTCTTATAGTATTTCATCTTGGACTATGAATGTCAAGCCTCTAGACAGTAACAAAGAAAACTTTAGAAGACTATGTATAAAAGTGACTTTATATATGGATAAGTTAAGCTCAGAGTTTGCATCACTATCTGAAAGATCCAGAAGGTGTAAAGCAGAGGTCACTTTAAATTATAAAATACTTAAAACATTGACTGTTTTGTTAAGTGCCATCGAGTAAGTTCTGACTCATAGAGATCTACATATGAGGTTTCTGAGGAGTGTCTGGTGAGTTTGAACTGCTGACACTGTGGTTCAAACTGATCTTGTGGTCCAGTGCTTATTTTACGGAGCCATACCAGGACTCCAAAATATTGACTAAACAACTTCCAGTTCTACCAAATTTTTCACTATGGTAGTCTAGACTAATGTGCTTGGGTCTTACCTAGTACAAGCAGGTAATTTGTAACAAAGAAAAAAATTTTCAAATACACAATTGAGCTCAAAACAAAGGAACACAGACCCTCAGGTGTCAGGAAAAGAAGAGCCAAATCCACAGCAGTAAACTTGAGTGATTTTAGCAATATTCTACAGGAGACTTGGGTTAACTCAGAGTTAAGCCCTGAAGGCTGAGATTCTAGGGCGTTCTAATGGATCTGTTTCTCTTTACTGTAAAAATAATACACCCCTTCCAAGACTAAGACTCAATGGGAATACACGCTCTGATTGGTGACCACGCTCATCACTGATAAGGGGAAGTGAAGGAAAAACAGCAATGAAGCGGC